CCTTATTATCCCCGATTCTCCACCCCTTCTTGTTGCGCAGGAAAGCCAAACGCTGCTTCTCCTGCTCCGCTAGCTGCTCTCGCCCTCCCTCCGAACCCCCCTCCTTGTCGCCCTGCTCCCGTTGCTGGGCCTGTGGCTGATGCTGCTGGACTTTGACGCTGCTCCTTCGCCGCCGCCGCTGCCGCTGCTGGTGCTGCTCGGCGCCTTCTGTCGAACGCCCGTCCGAACCCAAACCGAGAAAACCCATGTCGCTGCCGCCGCCACCCCCGGCATCCACCTTTCTCACATCCTGCACCGCCGTATCCACCTTCAGCGGGGACTCAGTCCCCTGGTCGCGGGCTGCCGTACCTTCTTGTCTTTGTGGCCTTGATCCTGTCGGCGTCACTGTCGTTAAACGTGATGACATCATCCTTGACAGCGCCGTCGGTAACTCCCCACCCATGACGTCGACGGCAAGCCTGTTGTACAACGTCAGCAATGGATCCGTACGCCAGTCGGCGCCTGCCGCCTCTAGCTCCGCTTTCAGCGACGACATACACGTCGTGAGCCAAAACACACGCACGCCTCGCGCACGTCGAGCCGCTAGCAGCCCCCGGCGCACGCGCAAGAGCTGCCGGAGGTATTGCAGGGCGCTGTACGGCGCCGAGCCGGACCTGTACGACGCAGGCCACTGGCCAAAGTTGGCGATGATGTCAGTGCAGTTGGCGGAGACCAGCGGGTCGGCGGCGGGGTCGGCGGCGGCGGCAGCGGCAGCCCCGTCGCTGACGTCATCTCGACCGGGCCAGTCGTGACCCCATCGCATGTACTCGTAACGCACGCTGTCAGAGGGAAGCAGCTCCTTCTGCGTGTTGTTCACGGTGACGTGGAAACCTCGTTGCCAAAGCACCAAGCTATTTTGAAGGTAGCGTGAGTGGGAATCACCGACAAAACACACACGTCGACGGCCTGGCGGCAGGCAGCTGCCGGGCGTAATAGGTGCCCTTGGTGGTGGCGGTGGTGGTGGTGATGGTGGTGGTGGTGAGGGTAGAGGGACTGCCGCGGCCGCCGCTGGCGGCGACGGCGGAATACCTGCAAACGTGCGCATGCGGCAGCCGTACGGCTGCCAGCTCAGCGCTGCAGGGTGGCTGTCGTACCGCAGCGGCCGCCGCTGCGGATCGCTGCAGTCTGCGTCGCCGCCGAGGGGGTGATACCAAATGCAGGTACGCAGCAGCGCAGCAGCGGCGGAGGCAGCGGTGGTGGAGGCGGGGGGCCATTCGGCGAAGTGCCAACGCCCGGGCGTTGGGCCTGTGTCAGGACACAGCGGCAGGAAGGCTTGATCCTCAAAATGGGGATGGCGGGAGCGGTACCCCGCGCTGTTGTGCTGTGTGGAATATGAATGGAGGATGGAATCCTCTGGAAGACGAGTCCAGTGCTGGGCAGCGAGGTAGACACTGTCGGTGTGGTTTGAATCCGCTACCAAGGGCAAAGTCCAAGAAGGTCCGATCTGCACGTCAAGCGTCAGGTAGCCAGCCCACGGCGACTGGCATGCCTTGCTAGAGTTTGGCTGGATGAAGGAGAAGCTTGTGTAGAGCATAAGCACCTCTACGGAGAAGAGACCGGGATGGCGCAATTCGTACGATGCGAGCGCAAGGTCCGGGCGACAGTATGTGGGCTCCAGAAGCCATAAGCCGTCAGGGCCTGCAACTCGCAAGCGGTAGGTGGTCGTACTGGTTACTTCCGTCGGGTTCAGGTTTGGATCGGTCGTCCGCTCCAGGACCAACACACCCGACGCTCCATCGTTAACACAGTTATGCAACCTCACGGGAAGCGTCTCGCTGTTAAACGTTGTGCAATTAGACTCTGTCAGGGCAAAAAAGTATTCGTAACATGTTGCCGCATTACCGGGCTCAACAGGGAACAATGGCGCTCCGATGCCGATGTATTCCGAGCCTAACGGAGATGCATCAGCAGCTGAACAGATGAGCGGGTGGAGAACTATCGGTGCCAGAATCAACGCTGTGACCCAAATGCACGGAAGTGCCATGATTGTTCAGCCGCTGCCATAACCCTGAAAACATAATATCCACACTATAGAGGGCATGCGCCTCTATAAGCTCCTGAACAACAGAGCTGGACAGCACGCCCAGTTAACCTTGACACAGCTTTCGTATGCTTTCCGCACTTTGAATATAAGACGGTGTTCACTATACGATAGAACGGTATCAATATTTATGACCAACTCCTCCATGAACTCCCAGGGTTTTCTGTAATCGTCCGACAATAAAGCGGTCGTTGCTCCTAACGGCCAAATCCGCGGGTTAACTGCAACAGCCTGGCAGCAACCAAATGAAAGAATTTGTGACAGCTGTTGCGCTCGCTACTCTGTAACTGAGTTCGGCGAAATTGAAATCTTCGGCTTCAAGCCGTTGTTTTTTTCATTCTACGACCCACAGGACCTGCAGCTCCTACCGACCTCTGCTCTGTAACAGGCTGCCAACTGCTGACTTATGCTTTCGGCAGTCACTTTACTGCGGGCTCTTGTTTTTGTTGTTCGGTGCGGCCTTTCTTCGATCAGGCCGTGAGAGCACAGCCAATATCTGTAACAGAAATGGCAATGGCAATAGACTCGTAGCAGGAGCTAACTAGTACTGTACAAAGTGCCGTAAAATGTGTACACGCTGAACAGACAACACCCTGGCTGCCTAGCTTTAACATTTGACAATGAAGTAAAAAACCATAAGCACACACACTTTAAGGCCTTACAGAACGTTCGGACCCTGCTTGACATAATAAGCTCGCGACGTAAAGACACACCAAGACCCGCTGTCAAACGAGTAATGAGCACGAAGTCTTTTACTAGCTCGTGACGCCATTCAGTTTACAAACATTCCCCGGTGGCCGACCAGCGCCCGACGCGCCCTGCCCACCTTGGCGGATTCATCATGAATAAAGCCCCTCACGCACGTGCTCACAGCGCCGTGTTGTACGAAATACAACACTCTCCCTCTCCTCCCCTCGCTCGCTCTCGTCCTCTCCACGTTCCCTTCCCTCCCAAAACTCCAGGAATACAACACCGAAGTCCAGGAATACAACACACGTACATACATACCGAATACGTACATACATACATACGTGGCAGGATCTTCCCGTTCACGCACTTTTCGAGTTGGCCCCAACGCTGTGTAGGGGCATGGACGTGTACGTTGTTTCCCCCTCTGCGGTTGACACCTCCCCTGGACTAGCCCAGCGAGGGAGAGGCTGGGGTGGGGGAAGTGGTCTCGGGAGGCTGTTGGGCGTCTTGTGGCGTGAGAGCTCTTTGAGCGTTCTCCCTTTTTGAGGATTTTGGAGCTTGGGGACCTCCCCAGCCCGGGATGACTCATCGGCCTCCGTTCGCCCTGGTCCCGAAAGCTCTTTTGGGGTTTCATCTGTACTTTCCGCCCGTAGGAAGAACACCCGGGTGCGACTTCGTTTTTGATAGGTGACCAGCGGACCTAGAGCCCGTTTAGCTGTCAGCGCTACCCCCGGTGGGAAACGCTGCTTAGTGCCGGCAGTCGTATCTCGCGCGGCCTGACCGGGGGGTGGAATGCACGGGACTCACCAGCCGTGTACGTCTGGCCCCCTCGGCCCTCTGGGCCCCCGGCTTTCAAGGCCGCAGTGTCACCAACATCATACATATATACGCACACACACTCACTGAAGCGGCTCGCGCTACAAATCCAATCAAGGAAGATTAAATACCCGGCAAAAAGAGCTCCCCTGCTGCCATTGCCATCCCAGGAAGCGAGAGTGAAAAAGCCTCTTGAGGAGCAGCAACAGCAATGACGACGACGGCGATGATGTCGTCGTAGCAGCACACCAACAGCAAAAGGGGAGGAGGATGACAACAACAGGACGGACCGACGCCCCCGTCCGCAAGCCAGGTAAATCCCCTCCCAAACTCTAACCCCCCAATTCACACACAAACATTTCCTTTTCGCGGCTCCATTCTCGAACGCACATAGACGTACATACACACGCGCACGCTACGCGAATTCCGCGGCACTCACCTTCATTCACAACAGCCCCCCCACCACTGACAACACCCTCCTACCCCCCAAGCAAGCCTCTTCCCGCCCTTCCCCCTCCCTCCCCCCCCACAATGACACACATCCACGTTTGGCGGGATATATCCCTACAACCCCGTCGTCCGCCTCCTTTTTCACACACGTTTACACGTTTACACAGATACGCACAATATAACTCGTCCCAGGCTCCGGCTCTTTCTTCCTAGCAACCCCAACCGCCCATCACTCTAACCCATTTCACGCTCGCACCAGCTCCTCCACCGCCACCTCCTCCTGCTGGAACTTGGCCAAGTCCTTGACCACCACCTTGCCCCGCTCCCATTCGGAAGCACCCACCAACACAAGTCGACTGGCGCCCAGCTTCTCAGCATGCTTTGGGTGGTGGGGGTTGGGAAAGGGGTGGCGGACAGGGGTGAGTGGGGCCGGGGGTAGGGGGGTTGGAAAAATCCGGGCCGCTCGGGGGACATGGAAGTGTAAATGGGATAAGACCTACATACCTACATGCATACAGACAGATATGACAGACAGACAGACAGACAGACACAGGCAAGATGCGCACCAAGCTTTGTTGATGTGCGATAGCGCCGCATATCTACACCACCACATCTCACGGCACGATAAGCCGTGGCAGCCAAACTCGGAAGCCAACCCAACCCCCCACTCCCCCAGTAAACGTCAGTTCCCCCTTCAGAGAAGCCGCCTCTCAATTCAACACTTACATAGCAGTTCGCAACTTTAACAAGGACGTCAGGACAGTTGTATTTCCTGATATTGGATACTGGATTCCGTTCGCCCAACCCCCTTCCTGGCTTGTGTTCCGACTTTCCTCAGTTGGATTTGCTGTCCTTCAAAGAAGTGAGGTGCCGAACCTACTCGTGTATGTGGAAATGGAAGTGAGACGCACCACCCACCGCCCAATACCTGCCCTAGACTTACAACTCGTGCCGCTAGCTGCTGCTGATATTGCTGCTGTTGCACAGCCGCCGCATTGGCGACCAGCTGCTGTACTACAGCCAGTCGCGTGCTCGGGTCCGCCGCCGCCACCGC